GAAGGTGCGATGCTGGCTGCGCGAGACTTGCGGCGCCCGCCAGGAGTCGTGGGCTGGGCGATGCTTTCAGCGCGCGATTTGCGTCTAGGCCCAGCGCTACCACTAGCGTTGTGGCGCGCGGACGCGACGCTCTCTGCGCGGGACTTGCGGCGGCCCATCATGGTCGCAGAGGATTTCCGGAAGGGGTCGATGCTGTCTGCGCGTGAGCGCCGCTTCCTCCCGAGGATCGAAGTGATGGAGGGCTTGGAAGAGAGCTTCGCTCCCTGTGCGGGCTCGTTCTGGTCGAAGATACGAGAGTTACGCGATGATGCCCGTGACGACTGACGGGACAGCGAAACCATCGAATCGCGACGTGTCGGCGCCCGCATGTACTCCAAGTTCTGGACACCGCGCCAACCGGGCGGCGGAGAAACAGGTGTGACGAGTGGGAGCATCGGCGACCCGGGCGACTGCATGGCTATAGCGTAGTCCTGCTCGATGTCAACCGAGCTATTGAAGCTGCTGTTCGAGTTGACACGAATCGTGGGTGCACCACTCTTTCGCTTACGCCGGGATGGCGAGCTCTGGTATAAGGAGCCACGGGGCTGATCCGCAAGAGAGAGGCGCGGCTTCTCAAATGGATCGCTTGGGACCATGGGTACGACTTGCGTCTTAATCTTGTCTGCCGAAGGACGTGGGGTGTGCGTGGGTGTGCTGAAGGCACCGGACGTGGCGCGGACCATAGTGAAGTCGGCAAGAGTGGTCGCCGAAGACTCCAAGGTCGCATTGCTGTTTCTGTCGCCGGCTTCGAGCTTAGGGTCGTCATAGCCCTTGGCCGCGGGCGGTCCGATCCATGTTGCGTCGCTGCCTTGGCGAGCCAGAGTAGGTGGAGCGTCCGCGAAATTCGCGCTGCGGCGTCTCGTATTGCGGCGGCGATAAACGAGGAAGACGACGACCAAGGCAAGAACAAGAGCCACACCTCCGCTTACGGAAGAGGCGATGATAATGGTCTCGGTTTGGCTGTCGCTACAGGCGAACGGGCGAGAGGATCAATACAACACAGGTCAAACAAATTATCCCATTACACGACATACCTCTTACCGCCCAGGCCCCGCGACGTATCGACTCCCGTGTCCCCGAGGCTGTTAGGAATAGCAGAGGGCTGTTGGGGGCTGCCGACCACCGAATCAGGCGCGAGGCTTTGAAGACCCATTGCGAATCAGTTCTAGTGCCTCCATAATACCCTAGCCAGGCGAACACACTCACGAAGTGATTGGGGGTGTAGGTTGGACAGTCTGCGCCGGGATGGATGGAAGTTGAGTATTGTTGGTAGCATCAGGGTCTGTGCCGCCTGTAACTCCGGAGTCAAGTCCGCTCTGGTCAGACACAACAGGCGCGTCGTTCGAAGTTCCAACGTTGGGGTCATTCACGGTGGCCGAATTCGGATCCTCAGTAATTGCATTGGGATCCGCGGAGATAGGATTCGAATCGGGGGAGTTGGAGTCGTTGCTGGGAGAGGACACAGAGCCAGGATCCAAAGGAGCGTTGGTCGTGGCGTCGGACATCAAGACAAAAGGCTGCCAAAGGGAAGGATCGAAGAAATGTCCGGGGCCAAAAGAAGGAAAGATGAATGAGAGAAATGATCCTTCCTAGCGGAACGCGCACAAAGAGCGAACGAAAACAGTGCAATATGAACACAGAACGAACGAAAGCCTGCTCTCAAGCAAACGAAAGGGGTCTTCAACCGTTGTCCTCCGACAGCACTCCGTCGTGGACGAGGCCGCGCTGGGGCGAGCAGAATGAACAGCAGGGAAGAGCCGTAAGACCGAGACGGCACGTCCGAGACCAGCCCAAAGAGCAAAGCGAGGCTCACCGGGAGCAGCGAAGAAACGAAAGGAAGGAGAAGGCCAGCCTGCGGAAGGAACGGGGCCCAGGACCGGACGTGGTGGTGGACGACCTCGTCAAAGGTGCGCGGGGGCGGCGCGTACAGGACGTCCCTCTCTCGGGCGGACTACATCACCCTGCGTGTCGCCTAGCGCGAGCTCCTGGATGCTGGCAGCCGCATCAACGTGCCGGAAGCTCCATGATGCACTGGCTGAGGGACGGATCACGGCCGTCTCCTTGCAATCCACGATGGATGATTGTGGTGCGCCTGGGCGGGCTCTCGCACATCGTTGTCCTGTACGAAATCGTCATTGGAGGCGGCTGGGGGTGTTCTGGGAGGAATTTGAGTGACATCTGCACAGATTGCCTGTGGGGGTGTGATAGTGCGTCGTGGCGTTGATCAGGCCATCATCCTAAGGCGATGTCGGCGTTCACCGGTATAGTCGACGCCGGTCAATTTCGTTGAAAGTGGGGAAGCAAGTGGGTGACGCAGCGTCGTTTGCTTGGAGCGATGAACGGAGTACAGTGCCAAGACAGCGCCGTAAGTCAGAATCCACATCTGAGAGGATAGACGCCTCGATCGGGCAATGGAGTGGACCCACAACGGCAAACACCCTCAGCCTTCATCTATCCTTGAAGACTATTCCGTATCAACTCGAGCCACCCCTCAGTAGAGATTTTCGCGATTCGCGTACTGACGGACGCACGACAGCATCTCGACAACATCTGCATAACCATCATCATCGACCGTGTACATCCTACTACTCAACATCGAACAACTATCAACGACATTCGGAAGTCCCGAGTCCATATCCGACACGACAACCACTAGACTGTAGGTAGCCCCGTCGGACGAGGCGCGTTCCTACGTGGAGGAAAATGAGGGGGGCGGTAAGAAGAGACGAGTATACTGCCGGCTGCGCGTATCGTACTATCCCGTACATACAACACCGCGCCGATACGCCGCACAGGGGAGCATTGATACATCGTAGAGGGCTACATCATAACTTGTACAGTTATAAGAAAGAGTACCTACCTAATCGTGACATCGTGATGGCTGAGGGGCATGATGAAGGAAGAAGGAAGAAGGGGACAAAGCATCGTGGACGGCAGTCGCTTGGCCCTGAACGGAGCGGAGTTGTTAGCAACAGCCCTGGAGATTGAATAATAGAAGCTCACGGACATGATGCCATGCGACGGCGTTCGGTTCCGCCGCCCTACCGGATAGCGCACGTCTCGTAGAGGCTCGGGGCCCTAGGCGCCTTGAACTTGCCCCACACCTCCCACACCTTCAGCTGCGACTCCTCCGGGACCGCGAACACTATACGATGCCCATTTGGGCTGAGCACACTGCTCGCGATGTTCTTCTTTGCGATGGACATCGTCGTCACATGGCGCATGGTGGGGAATTGATGCACAACAGCGGAGTTGCTAATGCGCGAGGTAAAAGGATCGACGAAGAGAGGCGCACTTGCGAAGGGGTCGTCGATGGGAGTAATGGGGGTAACTGGGGTGGTAGGGGGAGGTGCGACCTTGCCGGGTCCGTGTGTGCTGAGCAGTTCCCGGATATGCGGAGAGAAGTGCAAGGAGGTGACCTGAGCATCGAGCTCAACCTTCGTCGGCCACTCGGACGTCGAATTACCGTTACTGTCGACATCCCAAACTCGGATCGTGCCCGTGCCCTCGGTCGTTGAGTCACCCGTAACGAGATACTTCGAATGCCATGGACACCATGTCAAGGCCTAAAGAGACCCATGAGCGACATGCAGATCGACACGTGCGGAACAGGATGCTTACCGTCACCGCGCCGACGTGCTGCATCTTGCGACGCCTCTGAACCATCTCCCCGACCTCAAGCGGAACGCGAGGCCTTCGGGCATCCCAGACCAATACGAGGCCGTTCTGATCACCGGTCGCGAGGTACTTCCCATCTTCTCGCCAGGCTCCCGTCAATATACGGCCTTGGTGACGCGAGACTTTCTTCAGCTGCTCCTTGACCTTGGTCGAGTCGTTTACCCGCGGGTCGTAGTGCCGAAGGGCACCTTTCTCGTCCCCAATGGTGAGCATGTTGTCGCCAAAGCACACCAACGTAACGCTCTTCATTTTCCAGTTCATAACCATCTTCTTCGCCACAAGGTCCCACAACTGGATCCACCCGTTCGAAGTCGCAAGCGCGACAATGTTCGCTTGCTCCTTGTTTCCACATTGAACCAGATGCAAATTCCCCATGCTACTCGTAATCTTGCATAATTGCTGCGCAACGTCCTCGGTGTCCGCCATATTCTTGTAGTGGACCCGGTTGCCCCGGCCGAACACCACGGCGTTAGACTGGGACCAACTGACCGGGGACGCCGGCGCGGGGTCGGTAACAGCTCCGGCCGGCGCGACCGAATAGTCGATGGTGTTGACAGACCGCAGAACGTGGTACGCAGAATGGGCAGCGTATGTGGGTTCCGCTGGGGTCATGGACTCACGCTTGCGCCGGATATCCGAGGAGGAAGAGCTCCTCGTCAACCCGAAACCCGAGATGATCCCGTCACCGGCAATCGATGACGCTCGCGAAGGAGAGTTGGAATAGACGAATGACGAAGATGCCCCGCTAAGCCGGGGACGTCTTGGGCTCAAGTGTATCGCGCGCACAAGTTCTTCGTGGCCTTCTTCTATCAGCGAACGCGTCCGGGAAGGTCCCGGCCTCGAAGTACCCGGAGACAACTGGGCGACGTGTCATTAGCTACCAAACGCGCGTCCTCATCTTCGCCATCCACTCACAGTGCTCACGGGGGTGTCAAAGGGGAGTGTTGACTGGCGACGAAGTCTCTTGTTTGAGCCTGACTCTTCATCGTCGAGAGAACTGAGGGTGCGTTTTCTGACCCTAGCCTTAGCCACATGTTCGGTAGGCATAGACTCACAAAGATCACGTACCTCTGGAAAATCGAGCGGGTATACGGAAAAGACATCCCTGCGTGCACCCAGAGGGTATTGGAGGATGGCGGTGGGAGGAGGAAGAGATGTTTAAGAGAATCTCGGACTCAGATGGTGTGGCGGGAGTGTAAGGTTAGGCTCTCTTAGACGCGCGCGTCTGGGGAAATAGCATTTGATCATGTGATCGTCGCGTCGTGACCAAAAAAGGCAACTTCCGACACCAGCAGGGTTCGAACCTGCGCTCTCAGAGAGAAACAGATACAGATTTCGCTCATACGATTCTAATCTGTCGCCTTAACCACTTGGCTATGGTGTCCTGCAAGTCGCCCACACACTGGCTTTCCCGACCATGGACATGCATTTTCTACGAGATACTCGCCTACAACTCAACCGAACTCAACAACACTACGGGGTATACTGACATCGGAAAGCGGATCATGGCGTGGTGCATCACCAGGAGAAAGCATACTCTACTGTAGCAACTACCTCTCCTCCATTCACAGAGACGCGCCCAACGCCAAGACGGCTACGCCGACGACCATGCTAGCGATCCCGGTGTTGGCAACAAGGTTCGCCGCCCCGCTGGCAATCTGGCCAGTGACACCACCCGAAAGGCCAGCGGCAGCAGCGACGGCGCCACTGAGGAAGCTTGAACCGCACGTCTTCGTCACCGCGTCGTAGAGTTTCGACTGGCCGCCGAGGAGAACCGAGTTGGTCAGGCCGGGAGCGTAAGGAGTCGAAGACTCGAAGCTGACGTAGGGAGTGATGACATTACGCGTGCAGGACGTGCACAGCGAATCGGAGGAGAGGTCGGGCTGGAGCATGAGGAAGAGGAGGTTGTTGTTCGCGAACGTCGTCACGTTAGGTGCGACAGATACGACGGACTGCGCAAAGGCACGACGGGAAACTGCCGAGGCTACGCTGGAGACCTGGCTCGAGACGAACTTCGAGATGGTCGAGAGTGTGCTTGCGGAGGACGTAGAGTTCTTCGCGATCTGAGTGACGCAGTAGCGGCCACTGTCATCCTTGCTGCAGATAGCGTTCCTGAGCGGGGTGAATGCGTAGAGAACATCGTACGTCCGGACGACGTCCTGGTTGGGGCTCGAGGAGAGCTCAGCCGTGCAAGCCTTGTAGAAATCGGCGAGCTTGGAACGGATGGTAGTGTCAGGGCACGCCGTGGATGATGCGCAGACTTGGTTCAACGCGGTGCTGATGGTCGAGGTAGAGGGGGTGGTAGAGGCCGCGGACGCGTTGGTGCTAGGCGCGAACTGAGAGGTGGCATTGATGAGAGCCGAGGTGCACGAGGACAGAGACGTGTCCTGGTTGAACTGGGTGAGGAAAGTGGAGCACTGAGTGCTAATCCCCGAGGGAATGAGGGACGCCTAGCAAACTTCATGTCAGCATACTGTGATAGACCCACAACCGTGTCGAGCAAGCGCAATTTGCGTAAACTGCATAATTTCTAGAGTGCTATATCGCTTCGGAATATGATGCTAGCAAAACCCCCGGACGAAACGTGTTATCACGTCTCCAAAATGTGGTCCCTTCAAGCTTCACCTCCCTTGGCGCCGCGTGGTAATCCTCTCGTCGGATGCGACTCCTGTTTGGCCTTGAACCGAAAAGAGAGAACCGTAGACTCACCGATTGGGCCAAGGCGACCGACGCGAAAAAGGTAGCCGCGGCAATAGACTTCATGACGAAGTGACTAGGATACGCAAGGAGCGGACGGGTTCTTTAAAGTCGACGACGACGGCGGGAGCAGAGAATGGCGAACTGGGGCAAGTGCAAGACGGGCGAGACGGGGTGGGCGTCGCTAAGACAACATGTACAAACAAAACCCCCTTCTTGGCGTGGCGGCGGCTGGCGCTCACACAACGGCGCGCCCTGGCCGCCGCCGCCCGATTGGCTCGCCAGGATGAATTGGTGTTGCTGCTCCACTTGTGAAGGTCCTTGTCGTCGACCCCCGTTGTAACCAGTTGTAACCTCGGGTCCACCCAGGTACACTGAAGTCATGACGGGGCTAGAAAAGCTCTTTACGTCCCATGTCTTGTACAACGAAAAGGGACAAGGAACCTGGAGGCGTATATAACACGCACTAGCAAGTCAATCCTTAACAGGAAATACTACAAGCATCATAGAGCCAAGAGGATTCTGCGCAGTTCGAGGAGCTGCCAAAGGCTGAGCGCTGAAGGGTAGAACAGAAAGAAAACAGCAGTCATGAATGACAGTCGCGCAAGATTTTAAAGCTAACCGGCACAACCAGGTTAGTAGGCGGTGTATGGCATCGCAGTGTAAGAATGTGATAGGTCGCTGCCGACTGACAATTTGTCCTCGTTACCCCACCGAATACACCGAATACAGTCCACTGCTCGCTACTGGCTACAATTTATGACACTCGCCTGGGCCATCCAGAAATCCCACTCAATCAAACGGCTGCATGACTTCGTTCCCGCGCACATCCGTCGCAAAGTTGCTTCGCACGCCCGCCTTCCAGTTCGGGATCTCGAACGATGTGGTGTGGCACCACGGCTTCAGCGTAAGTTCTTTCTCAATCACCTTTGCGAAGTGCTCCGACCAGCCCTTGCGCGGGAAGTTGGCTGTCGTCGTCTCAATGAGCTTCGGGTGGATGAGGTTCGCGCGCCTAGTCAGTGGGCGTCTCCTGTCAGCATATGCGAATGGAAACGGGTCTTTGCAGAGACTCACAATCCGACATTATCTGTGCGGGCATATCCCACTCAGGAAGGATAATTTAGTGTGCGGGAGCGAAGAGACTCACCCAAAATAGTGGCAAGCTGAAGAATCTGTCCGATGACGGTAATGTTCCCGCTAAAGAAGCATGTACGGTCATCTTCCTGATACTTCCCCACCTATTTACCCGCCACGCACCCTTGGACGAAGATATCCTGGTGACGGATGATCGCGTCCGCGACGCTGTCCGCGGACGCCTCAGCGCCGCCCAAGGAAAGTATGAGGTCACGCGCAACGATAGCACCCTTGAACTCGAATGACATATGCGTCGTCGCGAGGAACTTCTCCGCTGTGCCAATGTCATGTAACAGCGTGGAGAGCGCGTACGTCTCCACAATAGTCGGCGTCTCGCCGTAGTTCCACTCCGGGAAGTGCGTCGTGGCAATAGCAGAGCCTAAGCAGAGAATAGATCAATACTCGTGTTCTGTTGTCTTAGAACGCATGCGCATATGCCCAGGGGACGGACGTACCGTAGATAAACACGCGGTTGCTGTGGTTGAAAGTTTGCTCGTCAAGCTCTTTCTACATGTGCATCAGCGTGCAACCCAACGGTTTAGAGAGGAGACATGCGTACCAAGGCGAACGCGCGAACCTCCCGCACAAGAGGCGTGTCGGGCAACGGGAAATCGTCCGCTACAAACAAGTCCTGTTTCGGGCTGGGTCCCGACGCTGTGGGATGATCCTTGAACAGAACGTCGGGGTCTCGGGGAACAGCCGCGAAGCCATAAAGTCTCCAGTCTTCAGCCGACATCTTGTTTGGACGCAATCACTGTTGGGCTGACTAGTTTGCAGATGAGGCTTGAAGCCGCCTCAGAGTGGCGTGAATGCGGATGACATAGCGCAGTATTCTCATGCTTTTATAGTCTCCGCCCAGCGCCGGAAGCTTGTGGTGGAGGCTTTCGTCCTCACGAACGCGCGTGCGCGTGCGTCAAAGGGCTGGCCGATGGGAAGCGACCTGGTTTTCGCACCCGCCCCACGCCGGGTCTCGTGGTAGAGGTCTCACCCATGGCGCACGAGATCGATCTAGAGAAAGGAGTCATGAGAGCACGAGACATGACAAAGCCTGGGTATCTCGCGAAGGTCCAGCCCAGTACTGTTCACGCAAGCTGGCGTCTGCTGGCGTGAGTTGAAGCGGCTTGACGCCGCTCAAGCGCCCGACGGTGTTACTCAGCATGGCCTGGTGATTTTTTATCGCGATACGATGGGAGGTTCCTATAACAGCGTAGGTGTAAATGATCACCCCAATCCTCAAGTCCTCAAGTTGGGTATTGCTTCGTGGGTTCCGTGTCAGTTGTGTGGACAGCACTACCGGCTTTTACAGCATACGCACGGAGTGTATTTTGAGAGCCGGCTGCAGTTACTTCGAATTCGAGGAGCCGTTCTTGGATTGCGTTTGCGCTCTAGTTAAGTGTGTGCACACGGGTAACCTGAGGCAAAGCGAAGCAAGTGAATTGCTTAACGAAGCATATCTAACCCTTTGCAACATGTTAGGCACGAAGTGAACCAACAGACCACCTGACGGTCGGCTGGCTGAATGTGTGCTTTCTGCGAAGCTCGATATCCCCCGCATTAGTAACTCCGATCGCCCATGAAGAGGGACGTGGAGCAGTTGTCGGGGTGGGCGGTCGAGGACGTTGTGCAGTCTGACATCGAACTGATACTGAGAGGCTGAGCAGCTAACGATACAGGGTCTACGACGGATGTTCACCAGCCCTGTGGGAACGTCAATAGCTGCAGCGTACCCTAGACGTAAGATCCACTCACCAATCCAGCAAAAAGTCTGATATCTGCATGAGTCTCGTATTGCCCACTTTCGGCACTGTTCACTTTTACCACATCGAATTTCCCGTCTTCGGCGTTCCAATGGAATATTCGCTTGACACCCGCCCATCTGCACCACTCAAGGCATCTCCAGCACGGTTTGGCGCTTCCCATCCCGTTCTTGGTGAATCGAGCTACGTAAATATCCGCACCGTTTGCACGAGGGTCACGTCGCCGAGCGTCCCAGAGCTTGTCCGCTTCCTTGAGTTGGCAAGTACGCGACGCCGTTCTCGCCGACGTAGGGACGCCACGCGCGTGCAGAGAGGACGGTGGGCTGTCGCTGCCGCTACCTTCGTCACTACCATTTCCGCCCCCGCTCACAGCACGGATTAGAACCGAACTGGACGATTGTCGGCTTGAGCTACGTCGGTGGCGTTTACTCTTCCCTTTCGACGGCTTAGAGCTTCCAGGAACCGGCACTGGGGAGATAGTGGTTGGGGACAAGGGCGTCGGGGAACTTGGTGGACCCCGAGACGACGATCTCGAGGCCCGCAAACCCTTTTGTCCCTTTTGTTCGTGGTTTTGGTGGTGTGGCTGGTGAAACCCGACGCTCCATGCCTTGAACCTGCGTCTTGAACGACGGGGACATGCCAGTTAGGCTGAAGATAGCGTGCATCTCTGCATGCATGGACACAGGCTAGGGACCACGTCAATCAGAGAAAAACGCGACAGCCTAGGATGCTAACCTTTCGGTGGCCGTGAGTTCTCACCTCCGCACCGTCGTAGTGAGGTCGGTGGTGATTGTGC